CATTGAGAGAAACAGCTATTGTGTTAATTATATGGAAACCAAATGTTTGTTCTAAAAAGCATTAAATCAAATACAAGTCAAAAACAAATGTTATCTCTTTGAAGGCGGACATGGCTTTGGACTTAAACGACCACTTTATGACAAACCCCATACCCCCCGCCTCTCACGGCCTTCGAGTCTCGATATTTTATACGATATTTATTTAAATACGTTATAAAAATAACAAAACAATCTAAACACCCCTTCTTTGTGTTTAAATGAATGAATTTATTTTATAATTAAAACTTAAACAATAATTAGTAACAATATATCAATAATTTGCTTGAACTGAACACCAATACTAAAGTAGTTAATTGTTTCAAATAATCCTTTAATAAAACTCAATAACTGATAATTTCTACAAAGAATAAAATATAAAATTGTTTATAATCTATATATAAATTTAATTCAATTTACAGATAAGATTAGATAAGAATATTACATATTTATGTCGGAATAAATTAAATTTATAATTTATATATTTATAAATAACAACATTGTGTTTATTTACATATAATTTAATCAGTTTTAGTTTACAAACTTTTTTTTGTCTAAGATTTTGAGAAGAAATAGTATAAAAACGTTAAGAATACGTTAGAAATGGGATCTCTTTTCTTCTCTATGATTATAATATGAGAGGATTGGCCGACAATCACAGCATATGTTAGTGTATTGTAATGTTTACTACATTTGGATATAAAATTACAAAATATATAAAGTATTATTTATTTTAATAGTTGAGTTCCGATCTCAATAAGACCTAAATTACTTAATTATATCTCCGATTCCTATAATTATTTATAAATCAAATAAATAATAACAAAATTGTATGAAAAAAGTTAACATTTAATTCAATGAGGAAAAAGTATATCAACTCTTTATCAGTATTTATGAAATAAATGTATTTCATTATCAATTAATTGTGACCTAATTTAATGAAATCTCTTCAATGAAAAAGTGTCAAAATATACAATCCATTGAATTATAGGAATAAACAATAAGTTATATAACAATATAATACGATTTGATTACAAGTATTATTCTGTTGTCGATTTCTTATAGTGAATGCAATCAATGTTAGCATTACTTTGAAACGAATGTATCATAAAATGCAAAAATATTTATTACTAATAATTACAGAGAATTTATATTTACTTATATTTACGGTTATAAATAAGTGTTAAAATGTAATACAATTGTAATTCAGTGCCTAAACACAGATTTAGTGATAAATGTTATTTCATTCATACATTCAATACATTAATCTTCGAAACCATTTCAGATAAATTCGACAATAATTGGCGTCAATTAAAGTTAATTTTAATTAAATTAACAAAAATTATAGACAAAACATAATTGCGTTTAAATTATAAAAAATGAAAAAATGTTACAAAAAAGCAGATGTTTTAATAAAACGCTGCAATCATATAATCATATAATATATACATTGAATGGCATTTGCTTTGCATTGCAATGTGTATTGCGTTTCAATGTTATTGCGTTTAAAATCCATTCAAAAATGTTTTTAAAAGTCTGAGAATGTTTTGAACAAAAAATAAGAGAAAAATAGTTGTGAATAGAGTTGTGTAGTGTGTGTGAGGAATACGACGGGGAATGCCTTCTATTGCCCGCTAATGGTTGGCAATGGCTATACATTGTATACACTGTACACTGTATACAGTGAACATTCCCAGTGCTCTCTCCCTCTCCCCTCTGCCTCTGTGTTGGATTGAGGGCTGGAATGGCTGTATGTATGGCTGAATAGCTGTATGACTGGTCTCTGAATGTCCTAAACTTAGTTTGGTTTACAGGAAACAACTTTTGTGTTCCCAAAATTCCTATCAAAACTTTTCCCGCGTTTTTCGCAAGAATTTCAAACTTCTCGTGTATTTTAAGACTCGTTGAGAAAACGCACACATATTTGCATTTCAGACAAACACTTGCTTTACTCACAGTCTGTTCACTACTCTCACCATTCATTCATATCTAGAGTACATTACAGTTAAATATTGAAATTTAATTAAATATTGAAATTGGGTTCGGATTTCAGTGAATATTATGTCTATTTATGTCTCACTATTGAATGCAATGAAACTATTTCTAAATGAAGCCATTTATAAGTTGTATTCATAAATTTCAATGCATATCAAATATGCCATGAAATGCAGTATAGTTTGGAAGTGAGGCTCACTATCGATAAGTTTATGTTTAATGTGAGACCAGATAATGAAATGAAACAAAAGTTAAAATAAACCATTGATTGCAATGGAGAGGCACTCCTAATAGACGTTTCATTTCATACAAATATTTGTATATAAAATGCATATACAGTTCACTATATATGATATGATAATAATGTATAATAAGTGTTAAAACACTATCTTTTCTTATCAACCAAACAGTTGTGCAATACATGAATGAGACGCGAGTTTTGGCGACACTTTTATCACTACTTTCTTTAGAAATTGAAAGCGAATTCTTATCATAAGAAACGCTTCTTTGCTATCAATTGCTATACATTGTAGACATCACTCGATATACCAATACCTGTGAAGTACTACTCTTTCAAACAAATATTGCTTTAATTAAGCAATAAATCGTCAATACTTTCAAACACTTCAAAGTTTTACAAAGTTTCGCAAAGAGAGAGAGAGAGAGAGAGAGAGAGTGGTTCAGTGACTCACTTTCGCGCCACTCGTTTCACTGTTTCACTGCTTCCAACACTTTTGGCTCTATTCCAGGAAATCGATTGCGACATACAGTGAGTCGGAGTCTACAGTCACTCTACTGTACAGCGAGTGTACAGTGAGTACAGTGTGACTACAGTGAGGCCTACAGTGAGACCTAGAGTTGAGGCCCAATGAGTATGATTTGGCGCTTCACTCAAACCCTGCAAACGAGACACGCATTCAATCATAGCTTCAGACGAAGAAATGAGTAATTAGTTTGCAATGAAGTGATGAATACGTGCAGTACGTCTACATCGCATTCATTGCCATTCATTGCCTCTCTTTTCCACTTTTCTATTACTCTTTTTCTTTGTTTCCAACATTTTATAACATTTTTATCGATTCTGTAATTAATTGTTTGTTTCGTTTAGAAATCAGTGATAAAGAGAGTGAAGAAACACTTAATGGCAGTGAAAGGCAATGAAAGACTCGACGAATGCATAAACACTTGTTTTCATTACACAATCGGTGCCCAAAAGCACCCCTTAGTTCACCACATCTGCCCCTCTCTGCCCT